TATCTATATGCGAAAAACAAATATATATACGGTACATATGTATTTTTATGAATTCAGAAGGTTTATAAATAATTGTAAGAATTTCATTCTTACTTCTACGAAATTATATTGCGAAGCAACCATCAATATTGTATTGTTATCAAAATCCTTTTTAAAAAAGGGGAACAATTAGGAGCATGACCAGAGTAATAAAAAAAACAAATATTAAGAAGAAACAGACCAACCTACTCTAGAGAGCTCAATCTCTTCATGGCCATTATTGAGAAGGTATTCCACAACGCGATCATGGCCGTAACGAGTAGCATACATTAAAGTAGTCCTTTGAATTCCGACCGAAGAAAAACATTAGTTTTAAAATGCGTGGCTCAAAATAAAAACTAAAGAAAGCTTCGGGAAGTACACACGTCATACCAGCCATTCACAGGGTCGGGATTTTGCAAGTTAGTTTTTGCAATCAGCCGTTTAATAAGGTGAAGGTTGCCTTCACAGGCAGCACGCCGTAGTCGCACCCGTGGGTCTTCTACAGGCATAATTAAATACTATACTACGCAATAAACAAGACCTTTTTTTGTAGAAAGCCAGGTTTTAAATTTTTTTAACGATTAACGTTAATGTTAGTAACTTGTTAACGTTAAGCCCGAGCATTTAACTTGTTTGTGTGGCGGCTGTGTAACGAACAACAAAAATAAATCAATTAAATCAGTTGGTTATTATTACAAATTTTCACACAGCCATTAAGCCCATTACTGCATTAAGCATTAAGCATTGATAATTTCACACAATAGCTTTACAATTCGTTTTTACAATTTGACATGAAATAATACTATTTACGTAAAACTGGAACTATCAATCAAATATCATCTACTGTTTTATGCTGTATTAATTTGTAAAATTTTCCGGTGATTTTGTGTGCCGATTTTTTGTATAAAATACGACTCGTTAACAGTCGTGCACACCAAAGCATTACAGCAATCCATAAAGTCATGACGTCTTCAAATGTAGGTTCGTCGGATGTTTCCGGAACATGCTCTAAGTAAATAAAAAAATTTTTCATTATTCATTTTAAATTTCATTTTAAATTTCATTTTATTTCATTTTATTTCATTTTGCTTCATTTTGCTTCATTTTGTTTCATTTTGCTTCATTTTGCTTCATTTTGTTTCATTTTGCTTCATTTTGTTTCGCTTTAGCTC